AAGCCTTCAAATAAATAAATAAATAAATAAATAAATAAATAAATAAATAAATAAATACGTACATACGTACGTACCAGTCATTCAGCTTGCTTATGCCATCTAATACACACCTTATGATACAGAAAGACTGAAGCACATTAACCCAATCTAATAAGAAGTCCCTCATGTTCATCAAAACAAACTATAATCCCAGTGACAGAGCAGGAGACTCCTCAGACCATGAACCTATATTTAACTGCAAATGAGCAGCTCTCCTTCAGGCAAAAATCCTACCAACCTACAATAACTCTGATGGCTTCATGGCCATCACTTACTGCCTAGATTCTATTTCTTTCCCACAGACAGATGTTAATATAGTATTTACTCTGCGTAAACTAGAGGAAAATATAAATAAAATAAATTCCATGTTTGGATGATATCACTCTATAAGCATTCAGTATATCATGAAAATATTAACTACATATGGCATAGAAAAAAGCCATGTGGAATCCAATACCAGAAATTAAAAACAGACAATAGCCTCCTCACATTACGCTTTGGAATTTACCATACAGGAAAGGAACCAATATGAAACAATGCCTCCAGTTCCCAACCCAAGGAAACAAACCATATTATCAATAACATTAAAACCACTAATATATCAAGCAGAATCAAGAGAATTACATTTGCCCGCCCCTCCCTCCCTCCCAGCCTACCAAGGCAATAGCTGGACAAAGTCCTAGCATACAGCTTAGTCTCATCCAGAAATGCTTGGAAGTGTATATCACAAAACACTTTTTAGCACCTAAGGAAGTTATATTACCACCAGGTAATAGTACCTCTGCTCTCAGAGAAATATTAACTACTTATTGGATCTTCTTGATCACATCCTTTTGTGTGTTATTAGAAGCCAGAAAATTCAAGGAATATATAAGAATAGATCCATTTGGATGCATCAGAAAGGATGGGCTGTAAATTTGGAATAACAGTGTATAAAAATATTGTATAAATATAAAATCATTATAAAATAAGTAGATTTATGGGTAATATTGTCAAGTTAAAGATATGAATCCTATTTTGAATTATATTACAAAATCATGGAATTTGCCTATTTTTGAGGAATGTTGTTGTTTTGTTATATTAAATTTATTACAGCCACCCACTCCAGCAGACTCTGGACAGCCTACAAAATCTAATATTAAGTTGAAAGAAATAAAAACATTGAGAAAAAGAAAGAAAGATCAAAACAGCCTGGACTAAAAACACATTAACCTCAGGCCTGGGACCAAACCCAGGTTTTATGGGGCGTTGGGAACCCCAGGAGAGTGGGTGCCATCCATATCTGTGGGGGGGATGCTGTTCCAGAAGGTGGGGCTATGACAGAGAAGGTACACTTCCTAGGTCCCACAAGATGGCAACATTTAATAGAAGGGACCTAGAGAGCACCTACTCTGCCCAAACATACGGTGCAGGCAGAAACAATGGGAGACAGGCAGTACCTTAGGTGGTCCCTGGTTATCTCAGGCATGGGGCATAGCCAAAAGAATTATATTAAGAGACTGACAGTACTACTGGAGTACACCAGAGTGTCGGTGACAAATGATTTTTCAATCTTTGAAGAACTCTAGTAAGTTCTTCACTTCAGGTGGCAGCTGTTGATATAGTTAGGCAGTTCCTCCTGATATCTAGCCTAAATCATCTTCCATTGGTTCTGGTTCTGCCTTCTACAGCATAGAAAATGCCACTCTGTCTTCTGTATGACAGCCTTCCAGTTCTCCAAACAGAAGTGGAACCATTGATTAGCATTATTTGGGCATGATGGTTCAACCAACTCTAAGTCCTTCTAACAATAGTACCATCTCACCCGTATTTTAGCATTTCATTAAGGAAAATTCCATCCAATACTTTGTTGAAGGGTTTGCTTAGGTCCAGGTACATTGTCTACAGCATTTCCCTGATATACTAAACTAGTAACTCTATCAAAAAAGGGGATTTGCTCTGGCATGATTTGTTTGCAGCAGACACATACTGGTTACTGCTCATTGTAGCATGCCTATCAAGTGCTTATAAACATGTTGCCTTTATATCATTAGTAATATCAAAATTAATTTATGGGAATAATGACATTAAAAGGAAGGAACATTTTCTGTAGAATGGTAGTAGTCTGTATTCATTTTGTGTCACTCTATGGCCAAATGTTGAACACCCACAGGCAAGTACAAGCTTTCTTTTCAGTGCAGACTCTTATAGAACGTATTAATTAACACTCACAGACGTCACAGATGAAAGGGTAGCAGATTTCAAATTAATTACAGTGTCACCTTTTATTCTGTTATTTCCCCAGTCAAGAAAACATTAGTAAGCAATTATATAAACCACTCAAAATGAATAAGCTTATATACATTTTAATCATGTAAAGCACAAAGTTCTCTTTGCATTATTCCACAGTTACATATATATTAAGTATTTTACTATAAAATAATATTCAGTATTAATAAAAAAAAAGGAATTCAGTACTTACCCACAGTAATGAACTGGCACCAGTACAAAGCAACACTCAATATTATGGTGGAAATGATAGAGAATCGCTCCGCAGGCTGAAACCAAGGTACTAAAAATAAAGCAAATACAGTACAACTTCAGTAATGACTACACATTTAGAACATATTTCACACATTTCTATGTTGAGCTTTTCGACATCTCTTTTTGATTACAGCAGAAAAACTCAAATTATTTACAATACAAATTGTTCTAGGTTTCCATATTAAAAGCATAGCAGGATTGCACATTTCTTGGTATCTCCAATAGCTTCTGTTAGCAGATTCTCCATCTAACCACAGTGCCTTATGTTGATGGGGTAAGGTTTCTTCAAATCATCTTTCCTGAAATCTGCTACTCCTCAATTAGTGTCTGTTCATCCATAACCCATAATCTAATAAGCACACTCAGATTATATTCAGGTAGAACCTTTACTGATTTCTGGCATAATGCAGGTGAGAGCAGTTACTAAAACCTGAAGCAATACTGAAAGACTGGCAGCACTTATAACAATACCTACGGCATCTGCATGTGGCATCTAAAAAATGCCATTCTCAAAATAGTTCACAACAAAGCAAAGATGAGCAACAAACAAAGCAAAGTGGACCTTTGTGCTACCTTGCCATGTATAGTGGACGAAAGCAAGGCTTAAGGAAATCACTGAAGTTGTGATTTCTATTGCCTTTGTTCATACCATGGAACTCAGCCTCCCAGTTTCAAATTACCATCCTAGCACTGTTATCCTGAAGTTTCTGGAAATCTGTCCCCACTATTCCTGCACATTTTAATTTCCTCCACTTTCCTGCACAGTCACAGACCTTTCTTCTGAGAATTAGCATTCTGCATCCCATCAACTGCAACTTTTGTATCACAGAGGCTTTGTAATTTTCCACTTTTGACCTTAAACTGTAATTGTTGTCCACTGCCATGGCAGTACAGAGCACTTTCAGTAAGTACTGTAGGACACAGATAGAAGTATTATGCAATTCTAACAAGAAAAAGAGAAAAAAAAGAACAGCATCTTTGGACATCCTTTCTCTTTTCTTGAAGGGACCCTAATAACAGACTTCACACATTTTGTCTTCAAATGGAAAAGAACATGTTGGGCTTCTGATGACAGTAATGCTTGGAGATGGGCAGGAAAGGTTAAGGTGAGTATAATATATAACCACAGAAAAGTATCTCACCAGGATCAGTACTTAATCAATGAGAAGTTGGTGAACTTGTCCCAAAACAACACTGGACAAATATGCTACCCAGAGTAGAAGCATTTTTCTGCAACTCTAGCAATGGAACATCTTATGGGCTGGATTCACACATTATACTTAGCTGGGTCAATGACAGGATGTTATTGTGTGAATGACATAGCCCAGTCACCAGGGAGCAGGAGAACACTTATAACCTAAAGCAGCCCCAGGTGGTACAAACACTGTATCTCACCTAAATGAGTCTTCCAAGAAAAAGCTAAATCCACTGTGCCTGCCCAGCCAGTGGGGAAGGGGCTAGTGAAGTAAGGGACCAATATTCTGCTGACAGAGGGATCAGGCAATACCAGGCCCTTCCTGCAGGAGCTGGGCAGGGCTTCTGCATTCCCCCAAATTGTATCTTTTGACCTCATTGGTGTGGTAGCATGCTGTTAGAACCACAAACTATGATTGGGTCAAATATGTTTTTTGAATTGGGCCACAAAGAAAAAAGTAATATTCTGATCACCAAATTCTGCTATGAGAATATTGAGTATATTATGATCCCATTCTTAATTCCTTTTTAGCAGCAGCTGTGAAATTAGGACTCTTCCTTAAGAAGAAAGGCTGATGCAGTTGCCAGGCTGACTGAAGTGGGAGGACTAATTCAGGAAAACTGAGAGAAAGAGTGAGCAAGCCTTTTGTGCAGCTTCATTTTCCAGATATTCTTCTTACCGCTCTCTGATGAATGATTTAGGCAGGCTGCAAGGGGAAAAAAAAAACAAAACAGGGACAACTCTAATTTCTATGTTTGGATATATTATGCCATGGTTAACACAAGCTATAATTCATTAGCCCACTGAGCTTCCCACTGCAGTTTGTTGCTGGGAAAAACATGGTTTGTTTTAGGCTCAAATAAATTAGTAATCTACAGTTTGACAAACTACAGTTTGTCTTGCCTTCAAATCTACTACTTAAAAAAAAAGGAAAATGATTTCTTCAAGTTCAGGACTGTAGGCAACTATTGTATTAACTGAAATTTCCTCCATTTAAATCCTTTAAAAATTCACTTTTCACTTCACTTTTCTTGTTTGTTGATCTAAACCTACCACCAAGTTAATTTGTGCATAATTCTGGATCAATATATAGACTCAGACGTGTTTTACTGCAGCATTTTAAATTCATCTCAAATACTTACAGAATCCATGTTGCCACAGTTTTCTACCAATGTCATAATCTATTATTTTTTTCCTATCATATCACCTATACTATGAAAAAGAAAGCAAGCTGCCGGTCCCAATTGTGGGTTGCTAAAGAAGGACTCAATGAAGCAATGAGCATGAAACTCATGGAGGCAGTGAAGGACAGGAAGGCCTGGCGCAATATGGTTCATGGGGTCACGAAGAGTCGGACACGACTTAACGACTGAACAACAACAACAAAAGAAGGACTACCTGTATATAGTGATGTTGTTTACAGCAGGTATTTACAAAAGGTATATACAACAGAATACTGGTGTTCACCCAGTGTCAGTTTCTTTCTAAGTCTCCCTCCTAGAGTATGACCAAGACACAAAGTTATAGTGGTAGAACATTGGTTGAGTTGAGTGAACATTTTTCTCCCTAGTTTTTCATGGAACCTCATTAGGTTTTCACAGAACCCTAGGATTTTTCAAAACAGAGTTTGAAAAACCCTGACATAGGGATTAATTGAAACATACAATTTGACAGCGATTAATTTTTGCATATAAGTGTAAGAAACAAATTCAGCTCAAGCCTGAAATCCTCTCCCTTGCTAGATCTGTTAGGCAAGTTACTGTTAGCTGAAATGTATCTTGAACTTTTCAAGTTTTCTTCCCTTCCATTTTTCATTTTTTTCCTTCCTTCCTTCCTTCCTTCCTTCCTTCCTTCCTTCCTTCCTTCCTTCCGCTAGATCTGTTAGGCAAGTTACTGTTAGCTGAAATGTATCTTGATCTTTTCAATCTTTCTTCCCTTCCATTTTTCATTTTTTTCCTTCCTTCCTTCCTTCCTTCCTTCCTTCCTTCCTTCCTTCCTTCCTTCCTATGGTGTTTTTGAGCTTATTGTATCACCATTTGAACCAAATTTGAACCAAATGTCTGCGGAGCAGAAAATGTCTAGGTCCTTCCAATATTCAAGTGTTGGGATGAGGCTGATAAGAAATCTGCTAATTGGAATCTTGCCTAGGTGACCAATATACAGTCCAGTGTCTCCCAGTTGGTGTACATATGCCTAATAGATAGCTTTACCCTTTTAACCATTGCACAGCATAAGATCAGTTAACTGTAGGAAGTAGTGGAGAGGACAATTGCTGGAGTTGTTTTCTCTGATACATCTTTCCATCACTCTGAAGCATACCTATCTCCCCACACTTCTCAATATGAAAGAAGCTCAATGGGAGATTCTCCTTCATGATGCCTACCACTGGTATTTAAATGAAGTGTGGAAAAAGAGGCTGTACAGTGGAGCAGGACATTTTCATCTCTCCCATGCTACCTCCGTCTTATTAAATGAAAGAACCACACGTTAAACTCATAACTTTTAAGATTTCACTGAAATTTCATTATTTATTTATTTAATCCTAAAATATTGATGCTGCTCCATTCCAGACCAGCTGCTTCTGCTTCATCAATTTAAATCAGAACAGGTAAAAAAAAAAAGATTTTTGTTTCTTGCACAGTACTAAATATTGATATTACTAAATCAAAAACTAATGAAAAGGCTTAGAACAGGGTTCCTCAACTATGACAACTTTAAGACGGGTGGACTTGCTGGCTGGGGAATTCTGGAAGTTGAAGTCCACCTGTCTTAAAGTTGCCAAGGTTGAGGAACCCTGGCTTAGAAGACTCAAACAAGGACTTTTTCCCTTCCCTCTCTCAAGATTAGCAACTATCAGGTCTAGACAGTAGTATTTGATCTGACTGAATCAGGAAAACCATAGTGGAATAAAGAAAAAGAAAACTAACCAGGTAAAAATATTAGTGTTGTAGTAGTACTATAATACTACTACCTGACTGCAGAAGAAGGGGTTTAAGGGGTTTAAGAACAGATATCTGAGATTGCTTGCTCTTTTCCTTTTAAGCCTTTTTCCTCTTTTCTATCTCATCTTTACATTGCAAGCCTTCAGGCAGAGAATGTCTTGTTTTTTACTGATTTTATGTAAGCTCTCTTGGAGCCTTTTCAGCTGAAGAACAAGATATAAATACTTTAAATCAGGGGTATGTGCAATCTGTCTCTTAATCTCATTTCAACATTTCTGGCCTATTGCACAGAGAGGGGGAGAACGCATTAGGAAAAGAGAAAGAAAGAGACGAAGAGCAAGACAGGGACAGCGGGTAGAGTAGAGCTTCTCAAATTCTGCCAGGTTCATGAGGCCATGAGGGAGGGGCTTAAGAACAATATTCCAGGCCACTACCCAACCACCTCTCCTTTGAGATGTTCTGGAAATTCTTTTCCTCCATAGCTCCAGCCACATCTGGCTCATTTTTAGACTCAGTCTTTCTTTTGTTGGCTTCTCCCACACACACCAAATGGAGTCCCATTCTGTTCTGGTGTTGCAGACTTGCCAGCTAACAGAGTTACAAGCTCCTTTACACAATTTCTTTCCAACATTCCACTAGAAATAGTAGGGAAAGGGTGTTGGGGAAAAACTGGTTCTCCTGGCAAAAAGACCAACAGGCTGGCGAGGGAATAACAAAACATTATTACTCAATGATCAGAGCATCTCCCCAATGGAAGAGTATCCTAGACAAAGAAAGATAAGTTTATATTTGGTTCCCACATGAATATTCATTAGTTAATTAACATATAATATCCATGATTTAGCAGTTTACATTTAAGACATATGCACTTTTGAGTAACTTAAATGTTTCTTATCAGCGAGTGTTATTTGTATACTTTCCCCACTCATTTGTTTCCAACTACTGTTATGGTTTAGGGAGTAGGTCTACACCCTTGAGATTAACTAGAGTTTCTCTCTCTCTACAGACTGGAATGAATAGCTTGCTCTCTTGAATAAATGTTTATTTTATTAAGGGCTTTACTCAATTATAATTAATACAAGCTGAAAGAAACCTAAATTCCCCCACAATCTCACCCTTTGAGTTACTTTGTAACCACTCATATTTTCATGAGGCCCTAGATAGCGTGCTCTAGGGCAGGGTTTCTCAACCTTGGCGACTTGAAGGTGTGTGGACTACAACTCCCAGAATTTCCCACGCATGGGGGGGGGGGGGGGGCTGGCTGGGGAATTCTGGAAGTTGAAGTCCACACATCTTCAAGTCGCCAAGGTTGAGAAACCCTGCTCTAAGGCTACATTGGTATCATCAAACATGTGATTTACAGAGATATAGAGGGTGCAAAGTAATATCTTGTTGCAACTGTGTGATGCACAGGCCAAAGATATATTGAATAGTTCCTGCTATCATTGCTATGAAAATCTATTACAATTACTATTCCCATTACAAAATACAGCAATCCTTGGAAAACAGAGTGACCAATGGGACCAAACAGGGAGGTAAAAGACCATATAATTCCCATGTTGGTTTCATGCTTTTGTCACTTTTTCCAAAGCCTCGAAGATCCCATATTGATTATCAGGTGTGTACATGTGTGTGTATGTAGATATATACATATACATACACATATATGCACACATACAACACTTGTTCCATATTATTGCAAAGAAACCAGCTTTATTAACGAATACAAGGTCTAGAGCTATGCAATTTTGTGAAGTCATTTGTCTAATTTGAGACATTTCCTCTGTGACATTTGCAAGATCACAGGTGATGTCCTTGGCAACTTCTTTGAGTATTGAGGTGACTACTTATTTCTTCCACCTCACATGTGGGAGATAAGATAGCAAAGTGATACTAGCTTCTGCAATAGCCCTTCAGTTGCAGTGTAAAGAGGGGAAGTAAATTCCCATGGATCCTTTAGCATAACACCCCCCACCTCCAGGACTAAATGAAAAGGATCCATTATAATACATAAAATACATCTCAAAGGAACCACTGTAATACATAATCCCATTTATTACCTTCTCACAAACAGAGGTACCAATTTCATATCTAGGTCTTCTGTACATCAGGCATACAGGAAGATTCTGAACTTGGGATATAATTCTGGTATATTTTGTAATATGGGCAAAATCTGCCCAAATTTATTTGCAGCTATCCTTCCTCACCATGAGCTGCAATAATTTCAGGGGTATTCAGAGATACTGCCAGCATGGGAATACCTCCTTTAACATGTATGGGAATGGGTACATATACTCAACAATTTGAAACTTTGACACTGCCATATGAAATACAAGCATAACAAAAGTCATATATTTAGGAGCTTGTTTGGCCTGGGAACGACTCAGTTTTTTGCTGCTTCCATCTTCTCCTAATAAAACAGGAGTTGGGGCAGGCTTGAGGTGAACCTGGTATAGCCACTCAGGCCACCCAGCAACTTTTACAGCTTTATCAATTGACAGGATCACCTGATAAGGACGTTTTCACCTCGGCCAGACACATGGCTTTCTTCAATGAACCTCAGTGAACACCCAATTGCTTGAGCTGCTCAAGTGGTGCAGCTTCAGGATGCATGACAAGTGGGAGATTTAGAAATGAGATCAACTATCACTAAAACATATCTATACCCATTTACTAAGGGCAGTTCAATAAAGTCCACTTGCAACCCAGAATAAGGAGCCTGTGGATAGTGTTCTTTAACCTACAAACTTTTTTTCTGTATTAT